GATTAGGGCGTTTCTGGTTGGTCGGAAACAACGTGTCTGTATCGAGGATGATATGTCAGAATGGGTGAATGTGACAAGTGGTGTGCCGCAAGGCTCAGTTCTGGGATCATTGCTCTTCATCCTTTACGTTAACGACAGCCTTCAGGAACTCGACTGCGGCAAAATAATGTTTGCAGACAATGTTAAGCTCTGGCAAGTCATTAAGAGACCGAACGATCAAAGATCCCTTCAAGATAATCTGCCCCGACTGCAAGCGTGGTCGAAGAAATGGCTTCTAGATTTCAATGTGGAGAAGTGTGCCGTCCTTCATCTGCGTCCAACGAACTCTCATTCAAATAAGAGCCGGAGGACATATCACCTGAAAGATATAAGCCTCTCCACAGAATCTTCACAGAAGGATCTCGGGGTTTGGATACAGAACAACCTGAAACCAACACTGCAGTGCTACGAGGCTGCAAAAAACGCTATGGGAGTGCTCCATGCAATCAAAAGAGCTTTCGTTAACTTTGACCAAGACCTTTTTGGGAGAGTTTATGACACTTTTGTTCGGCCCCACTTGACAGTTCGACCATCGTTTTCGATGATGTCCACCGTGTGCCCCACAGTCACAGCAGCAATGGGAGCAGGGACGGTGACTTACGCAGGGGTTTATAGTGCCGGTAGACTTGCGTAGCATCTACCTACACTCTCTCCTCCTCCCTCGCCCAAGCCCGGTGTCAAGACAGAGTCAACAAGACCGGAGACGAGAGAGGCCGCAGGTGGATGGCTCGGAAGGATCCTCACCTTGGCGTTCCACCACACCCCCTGGTCCACACAACAAATAACCAGGATTTCAACCAACACAAGAGAGATTTGGAGGCTGGCACGGCCGAAGCCGCACCTGGGCGTGCCGCCAACGCCTGGCTCGGATCCCACACTGGGATGGGAGTGCCATAAAGGCCACATTAAAAAGGAGCCATTGCAGCCTGACTCTCAGACCGCCTCCGGTCAAGGAGGAGGTCCAAGTTACCCCGTCAGTTGGCAACCTTCCAAGCCACGGCTTTTAGCGCACCGTGATAGCTT